TATATTTAGATAAATTTAACAAAATAATTGATAGAAAGACTAAAAAAAATGAAAAACGAACTAAAAAAGTACATAAAAAAGTTAAATGATAAAAATTGTATATGACGTTAAAGTTGAGGATCAAAAATGAAATTTACCCTTTTAAATTTGAATTGAATTGTACGGACAACTTCTGTGTATTACGGTTGCAAGCTATGAAAAAGCCCTTAGCTTGGGCTAGGGAATCCTTTTTTTCTTTTAATTTGCAATGTGTACCGGTCAAAATTTCAGTGAATCGGTCGGTACACCGAAATTTCGACCTGTACACTGAATTTTGACCGAAATGATCGAATTTTGATCAAAAGGAAAATTAATATTATATCGTTTTGGTCAACTTTCAAAATCGGTACATACCGGTCGTACCGACGGTACGGTACGGTACGGTTTTGACTTCTTTGCTCCAAACTCCTCCGGCTATGGTTTGCAGTCGGTGGGCCTCTTCCTTCGAGATTTCTCTCCGGCAGCGGAGCCTCTCTACTTTTCTTCCTCTTTGCTTCAAGTCTTTGGACAGGGCTTTTCGGTCGATCCAGTTGAGGCGCCATAACCTGGTGTTTCTCCTCTCTTTGCAAAATCGCCACATCTGTTCGGGAGTGCCAGATCTCTACAGATTCATCTTGTTTCGCCATTGCTACAGCATCCCAATCATGGCAGAAGATGACTTGGGTTTTATGGTCTGCTGGATCAGAATTGCAGAGAACAAAGCCGAGATCCTCCCACTGCATATGTTTTGGAAGCAGGATGATGCTAAAGTGAAAAAGTTACGGGTGGTTGAGAAATTGCTATCCCGACGGAGGATCAACCTTAATGGCCTCCAAAACGTTTTAACGGCTTCCTGTTTTACATCCAATATCTCTCGATGTTAATATGCAAAAGGTGAAAGTTAGCAAGATGAAGAGTCATGATTGTTACCTATTCATGCAAAGTTTCCTTCCAATTGCATTTCATGATTTTCACCCAAAACAAGTTTGGGAAGCACTTACAGAGATCAATGAGTTTTTCAGAGCCTTATGTTCTCCAGCCATTCCTATTACAAATATGGAAATTTAGCATGTGATGATTGTAAAAACAATATGCCAACTTGAAAGAATCTTCCCTCATTTTTTTGATATGATAAAGCATCTAGCAATCCACCTTCTGAATGAAGCCAAGGTGGGGGACCAATGTAATTCCATTTGATGTATCCATTAAAGAGGTATCATTAGAATACTTAATTTTTTTAATATATATATATATAATATAAAACATAATTTTCTTGTGAATTTATTAATTGTTTAATAATATTGTCATGAACTAGAAGAATGAATGGCTTAAAGGGTTCGATGAGAAATAAAGCACATCCAAAAGGATCAATATGCGAGAATTACATAATGAGTAAGATGTCATACTTTATCTTGTTTTATTATGAAGGAGAAGTTGAGAGAAAAGGTGATCTTATCCCCAGGAATCTCGTTGGCTTAGTCCCTTTTGTTAATATTGACCTTTCAATATTCAATAATCTTGAAAAAGCAATTAGTTCTTTACAACAACAATAAGTATTGATAACAAAGGAGCATGATGTTGTAATGTATTATGTTTTAATGACTTGTGAGGAATTGAAAGGATGGATTGAGTGAGTAGATTTCCCTAATCCTTACACTTAATTCTATTTAAAAAATTAAATGAACTATTTTAATTTATATATGATTATAATGGATGCTTGATTATGGTTTTTGAAGAGGAAGAATGTCAAAATTGACTCCCCAACAAATATAGATGAAATGTTCCAATTATCTTGTGTTATAGTTTGAAAAATTGAAAAGTTTAATCCTAAACTTTAATTATTGTTAATTAATTATCATAAA